TCACTTTTTTTTTTTCCATAAATCAACTCATTTCGCATGGCTCAAATGAAACATTTTAAAATGAACTTCTTTCGGGGAGCTAATTTAACGGGCAATTTCACAAAGCATTATCAAGTGACTCTATTGAAAGGCTATTTTCAAATCAGGAGCTGACTTAAAAGTAGTGTTTCCATCTGCAGGTAGGAAGCTAATCTACTCAAGTAGGTTAAGATCCTTTGACCATTTGGAACAGATCCTCTCCTCCCATTAGAACTACTGGTCTATTTGGGATCAACGATCTTTTTCAAGTTCTTTTAAAGAGCCTGACACAGCTCTGTGAACAACTTGAAATAGACAACTAGAAATCAGGTGGACAAAAGAGAATTAAACAGCTTCATGCTCAGAAGCAAACAGCTTTCTCGAGGGTTATGCTTTTCCTAATTTGATTCTTTCCTCAAAATAAGACTCCCACTTGACAAGTTTTTAAGTTTATAATCTTGAGCCAATCTCTTTCTTTCTCTGTGCCACTGGTATTTCTTTGTAAAATGAGTATATTAGATCAGAAAATTGCCAAGGTTTTTTTGTAGCTCTAAAAACCCTATGATTCTATGGTTGTCTGGCTTGATAACCAATGTTTACAAACAGCTATCACATCTATAAACTGTCTTGTCAGTGAGTTTAATATCTGAACTTGAATATGCTAGATAAACCTGACTCTTCATCATCAAATTCCATTTGGCCTTTAAACTAAATGCTTCACCCTCTCCAAGGTGGAGAGGAGACTGAGTTATTGAAGTGCCGTCTTTAAGGCCATATCCACATGCCTGCCATCCTGTGGAAGAAGCCCGAGCTCAGCTTACTATTTCTAGGGAGAGTCTTCATGATCTAATCCAACCCAACTGCCTCTGCTCAAGGCTGGTTGCATTATACTCTATTCCAACCATGAAATAAATGTGACTTTCATAGCTCAAGGTCAAAGCTCATTCTTTCCAGTACAACAGACAACACCATGTGGATGAAAAAGACTGAAAAAAGTAGAAAAGAAAGAATGGTAACACAACTGGAAAGAATTATGCTGTGGCTTACGATGTTGGAATGCAGATTTTGTTCAGAAAAATGGAAAGTTTCCAACTTTCTACACTTGAACTCAAACCCCCTACAGTGTCAGGAAATCGGGAACTTAAACTGTCACAAGAAAATATAATGGGCTTTAAAGAAAGCCTATACCACTTATCAAAAAGAAAGTACTGCAAGCTTTGAATTCCTTAAAAGGGGTGTGTGGCTTTGGAGTCACAAAATTAAGATGCAACTTTTGCATGAGACTTTGCACCAGAACACTACGAAGAAGTCAAAATGCCATTCTCTCCTGGACTAAAACCCAATTGTATCACCATCTGTACCTATCATGCCTAGGGAACAGCCTTATGGCCCCAGTGGGTTAGCTGGAACATTAGCTAGACAGCAGGGTCACAAGTCCTTAGCAAAGACACAGACTTGCTAGAGTGAATAAATGGGATGCTTCAACCATTAGGGTTGTGTGCTAGAATAATTAAAATGTGAGTTGAGGTTAGTTACTTTCCAGGAACAGCTGAGAAAAATGGTTTTGAAAACCTGTGGGTGCATAACCTCTCATGTCTTCAGAGTTTCATGGGATAATATGTATTACGATGAGTCATCTCTGACCAGGGACCATGCCCAGGGCTACACACACCAGCCCAGAGACTCGTTATGATGGCTTTCAGGCCAGTTCTGGCTCCAAAATCAGAGCGTCTCAGAGAAGCTTCCAGCCAGCAGCCTTGCACTTTGCATTGGCTAAGACTCACCCTCTTTTCAGGTCTTCTCAGCTAGAAGGCAGCATTTGCAAAGAACAGTTTCTGATAATTGAGATACAAATCTGAAGGTCCTGCAGAAGTAGCAGCTCCCCCAAGATCCTTTTTCATGTATGTAATTCAGTGATTTTTTAAGTAAATTGACTGAGTTGAGAAACCATTGCCACAACCCAATTTCCGAACATTATCACCTTCTTAATAAGACCCCTCGCGTCTGTTTACAGTTAATTTCCATTCCCACCAGCAGCCCCAGGTTAAGTGCATGTAATGTGAGTGCTCTCCCTTCCCTCAACTCCCACGCCCTCGGTTTAGCTGCCAGCATACACTGCGTGCAGTGGTTACCTAGAAAAGGACAATGCCTGTGCCATCGGCTGTCTTGTGCAGGTTGGACACAAATGCACACACAGACACACACATACACATATCCCAACGACGACAACGTTCCTCATCCAGCCCATCGGGGAGAAGTCCAAAACTGCCACGCAATGCTGCCAATCCAGCTGTTACAGGTATGGCTACGGTTTTCAAAGGCTGCAGGAAAATTAAGTATTATCCTTCACCATAGATATCATTTTTAGAAATCATTTATCAGTCAGGCCTAAAACTGAGGATCCTGCCTGTACTTCCTGAAGACAATATCGATTGCATTCAGACTGAAAAATCGTAAGAGGATCAAGGAACTGAAGAAAATAACCATAATCGAAGAACTTCTGGAAGTATATCACTCCCCCGATATTTTCTTAACATTAAAGGTTAAACAGAGTTCTAGAAAACAGTGGAAAGAGAATCGGAGAAGCATTTTTAAGTTGGCTTCTCTGTAGCATGTATAAGAAATCAAAGTATACCTTCTGTTTCTCTGCCAGGGTGCTACATACACGTGTTTTCCTGTAGGAGAAAATGCGCATTGCCATCTGGTAAATTCACCCTGGAATTCAGAGGATGTGACACCCTAAATGCTCATCCTGGAAAGTGGACTGGGGACACTGTCATCTGTGCTTTCAGAAGCTTCGTATTGGCTATTATGCTTCCATCTTGAAAAACCAAGGCTGATAATATTAGATCAATTATGTGGCAAACATCCCTGAAATACGTTTTAAAGTAACTATTACTCACACCTAATTTCCTTTTTAATATTTTTAATTTTCATTAATTAAAAAACAGTAGAAAAAATGGATTCATATAAACAAATAGCAAAACAACTTTCCTTCATAATTTTTCAGATACGCAAAAAATCTGAACATCATCTTTCATAGGGATAGGGTTCTTCCACTTAAGAGTTGGAAAAAAATTCATACTAACTTAGCCCAGTTGCTAAAAATTCTGTTGCATATGAATATCACATTTTCCCATTTTTCTTTCCTGATTTTATCCTCAGAATGACAGAAAATGAATTGTGACAAAAATATACAAAACATTGGCTGGGCCTGCACCAAAAGAATCTTGCTAAAGAAAAGGCAAAATACAAAAAAAAACTTTAAATCCCTATAGAGTTTGTTTTTTCCTTGAAGCACAGAAAGCGGACATTTTAAATGCATGAAGTCTCACAGTCCCTCCCGACACCCTGCAACACAGCTCATATATTTTAGTATTTTCTATTTTCAAAAAGGAGGAAAAAAAATATTAAGAGAACTGAAATCTGGATAGAGAAACACAGAGTATTTGACATATTTAACTATTTTCACAGACACTCAAATTAGACAAATGACTGTGATAAGAGTGATTATAAAATAATGGTAGAGAAAAGTGATAATCTTATAAAACATAGATTTCTGGCTAGAGAGAGTCCTAAATAAATTAAATTGAAGTGATTTCCACTCTGGCTTCTACGCATGGAAGCCTCAAAAGCGAATGTGTAGAATCAACTTACCTGATTTGCACATTACCTTAATTGAATTTCAAGAATGATCTAATGCCCGTATTTGAGTTAACCACCACAAAATTAAAACCAGGTTGCTACCTGCTGCTTCACTGTACTGAGAACATCCGAATCTGTTTGCTTGACAGCATTGGTAAAACAACGCGAAAGCATTAAACGGAGGGGACAATAATCCAGTTACAAGAGCTATTTATACATCAGTTGGGGGATAACTAACCCAGAGAAGATAATTCTGTGCTACTTGAAATATATCAAGTCAAAGAACAGCCTATGACATACGCAGCAGAGGAAACCATCACCGTTAATGCGTAAACTGTGAATACAGATCAAGAGCAATCGCACAGCTGAGGTGACCAACATCAGGCCACGAGAATGTGTCCCGATGTTGTCAGCAGCAGAAATACAGCCTCCGAAACAAAAACTGGAAATGTGCTTCCATGATGCCCCGTACACGCGAGAAAAGCAGTCTCTCTACAATGCCATGGAAATCAGCTGACACCTCCCAGAATCTTTCCTTATAAATGGCATTGGTGTCCTTCCCAGGACCTCGATTCAGCAGCTGGTTTATAAAGAACTCTTCTTCAGAAAGAAAGTCATTTCGTTGCGTTTGACATTAAAATAAAAGGAGCTGATTCCATAATTGGGTCAACTTACCACTAAATAAATGCCACAGAAACAATTATTTCCACACTCAAACAAGTAATCAATAACTCGAAAGCATCTCGACTATTGGGAAGCAGTTGAATTCCAATGTGTATTACTATATATAATCAGATTCTTCATCAAGAATATTAATGCAACCAATCTTTGTCCTGATAGGCAGGACTTTGTAATAAATCTTTAAATAGTCAAATGAATCTCTTTTCCTATTCACAAATATTGTTGATTAATTCAAGATCTACAGATCACATGACTATGAACTTCCCATCGTCACTATCTCAAATTCCAGTGTGCCTATTTTGAAAGTTCTCACATGACTTTCAACTTCAGCACAAGGCTTTTATAAACACAACATTTTCCATACCAAAAAACAAGACATGTAATAATCTAACGGCTCCCCCAAAGTCAGCTTATCATATTTTCACAAAATATCAACCTTTGCCTTAGAACTTAAATCCCATCGAAACAACATTAGTGGGCAGTGATAGCAGAGTGACAAAAAAGAAACTTGGGAAAATCTTTGTCTTCTCATTTTTAAGACTCTCGTATGCTCCCACTCAGTAGAACAGAACTCAGACTCACACATTTTATTTGTCTTCCAAAAATAGCCAGCACTGTGAAGAGCGGGCAAGAGATAATGAACACCAGATGCCTACCTTCACTGGTAGCCACATTCTTCTGGGCTTGGGTCGGCGTGTGATCTGTACTTGAACTCACGTCGGATGAGATGCTTGAGCTGCCTTTGCCTAGAGAAAACAGGAATGAGCAGTTTTACAGTTTCGTAATGTCAGAACTAGACCATGCCTTTCACTCCATTCCCTTACTGAGCCACATAGCTCGTTTCCAAGGAAGGAGCCATAATACCAAGAATAAAGTTTATTAGGTTTCTTGCCTTATGCATTAAATATCTTTTGGGAAATACCTGATCCATGTCGTAGCAGAACTAAAGTCTTATTATAATATAGCTTGACTATAAACTCGGACAAGATTATAAAACACAGTCAAATATGATAACGTAACCTAATTTTGGCATACGCGTGAATAAGAAAGTACATCTGCGAAACACATCTGCAGTATTAATTTTTTATTTGCAAATATAAACTATACATTTTCAGTAAAGGACAAATGCAAACCTAAGAATGACATGTCATCCAAGGAGCAAGAAGAGCCTGCTGGCTCCAAAGAGCTGTGTCACCTTAAAAAACTAATTTCTTGTTTTAATAGGTTCTTCTTTAAAAAATAACAATTAAAAAAAAAAAAAGCCTACTTCATTTTTCTAATGCAGTAGTTCTCAACTGGGGGTGTTTCTCCACCCAAAAATATATTTGGCAACATCTGGTGTCATTTTTAGGTGTCACAACTGGAGAGGGCATGCTACTGGCATCTAGTGGATAGAGGCCAGGGTGCATCTTATGATGCACAGGACAGCTCCCCCACAAGAAGGAATTATCCAGCCCAAAATATCAATAGCGCTGAGGTTGAGAATCCCTGGCCTGAATAATCTTATCTCAGCTGACAGCTCAGTTTCTACTCTTCTAACTTTTAATATGAACGTACATGACAATAGTGCTAAACATTCTCTAAACATCACATGAAAGTTTATGAATATGAACCACACTCACTGCATAGTAAGGGAAGTGCCAATGACTGGGGTGGGCAGAATTCTAGGATAACACTCATGGTACCTGCTACAGACTGAATGTTTGTGTCTCCCCAAATCTAATCACCCATGGGGTCGTATTTGGAAGTGATTAGCTTTCAGAAGTGATTAAGTCATGAGCGTGGAGCCCTCATGAAGGGGACATGAATGGGTCCCTTAGAGAAGAGACTCTGTGTCCCTCCCAACCATGTAAGGAAACAGGAAAAAGGTGGCTGTTGATGAACCAGGAAGTGGGCTCTCACCGACATCTTGATCTCAAACTTTTCAGCCTCCAGAAGTGTGAGAATTAAATTTCAGCTGCTATAAACCACCTAGTCTATAGTATTTTATTGTAGCAGTCCAAATAGGCTAAGTCAGGGCCCTTGGAATCTGACCCCTTGAGGGTGGGCAGAACTGGCAACTCACCATGAAGACACAGAGTATGGCGACGGTGAGAGGATTTTGCAGATGTAATTAAATTCCCTGATGAGTTGACTTTCATCAAAAGAAAGCTTTTCCTGGGTAGGCCTGACCAAAATAGGTACGCCCTTCACAAGAGTCTAGAGTAGAGACTTCCTGCCGGTCTCAAAGAAGCAAGCCACCGTGAGTTCCACAGCTGCAACGCCATGAATTCTGCCAACACGTGCATGAGCACGTGAGCACAGAAGAGGACTCGGGGGCCAGGTGAGACCCCAGCCAACTTGACTGCAGCTTTGTGAGACCCTGAACAAAAGACCAGCCTAGAATTGTGACCCAAAGAAAATGAGATAATATATGTACCTTGTGTTAAGCCGCTGCTGAGTTTGTGGTAATTCGTTACGTAGCAATAGAAAACTAATATGATGACCGATCAATTACATCACAAACGAACTCTTTGTGTTCAACAAGTTCTGATCCAAATTCCCACATGCGGTTGAGAAACACTGTTTTCAACAGTCTTCCCTACGCAGTGGTGCAACCCCAGTTAGGTGGCGTGAGCTTACAGTCCAGGAACAAAGTCGAAAAGCATGAATGGGCTTCGATTTAAAGAGCTTCAGGGATTTGTTTGCTAATGTTGGGAGTAATGGAACAATCCAAATTCCTACCACCTGGGCAGGGAGTTCATCATGATTTATGACTCTGAAACAAGTCTGTTTTCCGATGATGGCTGCTCATTCCACATCCTCCTCCACCAGAGTGAGCCCAGTCTGAGCAGTAACTCTCCCTCAGTCTGTGTCTAGCCACGCTTTGTGGCCTAGCAGCCATTGCCATTTATGTGCCGTGGTTCACCTCTGGAGGGGGCCTGACATGTTGGACTGAGCACCTAGTTAGAAGTATGGCAAACTGGTCTCTGACCTCAGTCTCCTGCTTCCTTGCTTTGTGGCCCTGAACACTCACTTGTCCTCCAGGAGGCTCAGTGTCCACATCTAGTAGGGGAGATGGGTGGGCTAAGTGATTTCCAGCATCGTATAGTCTATGGTTCTACAAGTCCATTATAGTACTCTTCAAACCTGCAGACACTCCCTTTTAATACAGAAAAATGCATTACTGGGTACCATGAATACACAGGCTTAAATTATTTTTAGTATATTGTTACTTAGCGATGCACAAATGGAAAACTAGAAATAAACTCCATATGCTTTAGCTTTGAGTCACCAACAAGACCAAAACAAAATGACCCATTAATCACAAAAACAATAAAAGCCATAAAATTCAAATTAACAGCATTCATTTAACGGGGCAGATGACATTATGTTGCCGACATTAAACGGCCTTTCAAAATGTAAATACAGTACTGGCCACTACAGCCAGCGTCCTCTCGGGTGTGGCACGCCCACGCCACCCTAGGCTGCGTGAGGACTCGGCCTGACCACAGTCCTCCATCAGAACCCGACGAGGCCTTCCCGCTACGCGTGCCACATCTGTTGACCTTCACTAGATCTGACTGAGAAATGCACGTTTTTTTGTCTGCTGTTATTTTTTATTGTCCCATGGCAGGGCTCCTTCTTTAAAAGACGGGTGCCAACTTCGGAGACAAACCCTTGTGGCAGGACTCCGTTATAAAAGAGAACCACTATACCATTATTCATTATTTTTAAGATTATCGTGAAAAGGGAAAAGCATAAAATAAAACAGATTTCTGAAGAAATTCTCAGACCGGTCTGAAAACGTGTATGCAGAAGGCCAGAAACTCCAGTTTAAGAAATGCTGGTCTATGAAGGAAGGGAATAAGAATGAAAAAACAAATAACATTATCGATGATATTTATAATGAGGCTAACATAGAGTGTGTGTATGTTGTGCTATGTACTCTGGTCAACACCTTAGATGCTTCATCAGACTCTCACTGTCTCACGACTGTGTGTTTCTATCATTTTTCATTACTGCACTCTCCCCAAGGAAAATGTTTTAGACTTTCTTCTGTAATCACCCAATGAAATCATAACACCACAGATATACTGAGTATCTGTTGTGTGCTGTCTATCTCTGCTTTTACATTAAAAATGTGAGAGTTTTCACCCCTCCCTCCCCAGTTTTTGTGACTTTAAGTGCAATGGTGCGCTCACAGAGAGCATATGCCCTGTGATAAATCCAACAATTATAAACGCCTGGGTATTTAATGAATTAAGTCATCATGGAAAGCGAAATAACAGAGAGGTAAATAAGGTCCGCTCTTGAGCTTCATGATGGTCATGTTCTATGAAGTTACCACAAACGCAGAGCTAACGATCCTGATTCATTGCTCCTAAGGGAAATGCAGGATTAGGATTCTGCGACCCCCAGGTCACATTTCAACAACCCATCAAGAAGTAACCTCGTTTTGCATGTGTTTCTGTTTGAAGACACCTTATTCAATAAATATTGGTGATTCATTAACATTCAACTCAAGGCCAAGGGCACCGTAACTCAAGCCTAAACGAAATTTGCCTAACACCTGTGTTTTCTCCATGAGGCACACTGCAGCCTTCCTGCTCTTAGGAAAAGTTGACAGCTGTGCTGCGTGATGCTTGGGGGCATTTTAAATAGCAAAATCGCCAACAAAAGGCACAAAAATGCAAAAGATGTGGCACTAAATAGACCGCTAAAAAGGATGCTCATTTACAGGATGAAAGCCAAAACAAGGAGGCAGACGGTTGCCTTATTTAACCTCAGGTAGAATGTGGACATTGAAAGACCCATTTTTCACCATCTCTGCGCATGTCTGCGAATAACCATGAAAGCCCCACGACTATTAATTTGGGGTTACGAATACATTTTAGTGAGTATGCAAATTCACGAATAGAAAATCCACAAATAGTAAGGGCTGGCTGCATATAATCTTAAATATGGTTTAAATATGGTATTAAATATGGTTTCACAGTTAATCCCAGCTTTCACGTGGACTGCAGTGGGTAGAGTGTGGATCTAGAGGTAGGAGGCCGGGTTTGTATCTGAATCTGCCACTTACTGGTGATGGGCAAATTATTAGACTCCTCTATGCTTTACTTTTCTCAGCTATAAACAGGGTGGGGAAAAATCAATTCCTGCCTCATATCGCTGTTCTCAGCATTCAATAAAATAATCCAGATATAGCACCTAGGATAGTGCGCTTAGGAAATACTCAATAAATCTTAGTATAATGGGGTTCATATTTTGGACACTATTAACACGCTCTGTTCTTCTGCCTTGTTTCTGGAGCATAATCATCTCTCCAGTGAGTTCAAGTGGGCAGGGACATGGTGTGTGAATGGCAGGGTGAGGGTGGGGGTGGGAGTGGGGGTGCTTATATGTTAAATGTTACAGGAGAAACTCAGAGGAAATGAACAAGGTACATTTATTTGGCTTCCAGTAGTCAGAACCAGAAATCTTCAGTATGGGCATGTTCTCGCAAGACAAGCTATTGTATTAGGAAGGGATTCCCTACATTTCTCACCTTCAAACAGTGTTTGATTCAATAACTGAGTACTATATATCCCCTGGCCAAGTAGACACATAAAACTGTCCGTCACCATGTCAGACCCACACGAGTTTACGTTTCATATATACCACTTCTAAGCAATGGGCTCAGGAGAAAAACTCTTTCAAACGCTCTAAGTTTCATTGTCTTCATCCACGAAATCAAGATAAAAACAAACAAACAACTATCTAG